TGTTTTTTTAAATCAGTAATTTGGTAAAATGAAGAACTGAAATGATTGTTGCTGGTTAATGAGCTGAAAAACAATTGCATGCATTTGCGATGCTTTGGGTGCTTTGTGTGTGTTGTTGTGTGTGAGAGAGAGAACTTTAGCTCAGTTTCCCCCAAAAGGTCCAAGCAGAAAATAATTCACAGTGACACTGACTGCCAAAACAATCATACTGCTCTATAGTACACACACACAGACACACACAGGTGACTGCACATGCACGCACACACACACACACACAGAGCGGAACAAAAGTGCTGGCCAGCACGGGTCAGTGACCATCACACACAAACTTCAGACTGCTGACTGAGTCTTATGAGAATAACAAAATAAAGCTCAACTGTGCCATGTAAACATGTTCGTCCTGCAGCATGTACTGAAATAATTCTGGAATTATTAAACGAACGATGAGTTTTACAACAGATGAAGTGTCATTTGTGTACTGCTAACAGCATCAAACGAAACTGAAAAAACAACTTGATTTTTACGTTTTTGCAAGCATAAAACATACTGCCATGATGCCAGGTAGTCCTGAGTGGTTGAGTCGCGGTTGCTAGGGTGTTTTGGGTGGTTGCTAGGTGGATGTTAGACTGTTCTGGATGGTTTTAGGTTGTTCTGTGGCTGTTAGGATGTTTTGAATGGCTGCTAAGGTCTTGTGGGTCATTTCTGAGTGATGCTAAGCTGTTCTTGTGGATTGCTAGGGTATTGAGCATGGTTGTTAGGGTATTCTGGGTGGTTTCTAGGTGGATGTTTAGGCTGTTCTGGATGGTTGCTAGGATGTTCTGAGTGGATGTTGCCATGGTGTTAAGGATGGTTTTTAGGGTGTTTTGGATGGTTTCTAGGTGGATGCTAGGGTGTTCTGAGTTGTTGCTAAGTGGATTCTAGCTTGATTTAATGATTTTGGACCTTGTTAGGGTGTTTGGGATAGTTGTAAGCATATTCTGGGTGGTTTCTAAGTTGATGGTAGGCTGTTCTGGACAGTTGCTATGGTGTTTTAATTGGTTGCTAGGTGTTCTGGGTCATTTCCTCTGAGTTGTTGCTAGGTGGATTCTAGCTTGATTTTGGACCTTGTTAGGGTGTTTGGGATGGTTGTAAGCATATTCTGGGTGGTTTCTAAGTTGATGGTAGGCTGTTCTGGACAGTTGCTATGGTGTTTTAATTGGTTGCTAGGTGTTCTGGGTCATTTCTAGTTGGATGCTAAGCTGTTCTTGGTGGTTGCTAGGGTGTTACAAATGGTTGTTAGGGTGTTTTGGGTGGTTTCTAGGTGGATATTCGGCTGTTCTAGATAGTTGCAAAGCTGTTCTTGGTGGTTGCTAGGGTGTTGAGTACTGTTGTTAGGGTGTTTTGCATGGTTTCTAGGTGGATATTCAGCTGTTCTGGGGTGCGTTTCCAAAAACCAACTATGGTCGCAAGTTCCGTCGTTGCCAATAGAGTTCAATCGAGTCAGGGTGTTTTGGATGGTTTCTAAGTGGATGCTAGACTGTTTTTGGCCCTTGTTAGGGTGTTTAGGATTGGTTGTAAGCCTGATCTGGTGACTTGTTAGGCTGTTCTGGATGGTTGCTAGGGTGTTGAGGATGATTTCTAGGCGGATGCTAGGCTGTTCTTTATGGTTGCTAGAGTATTTCGAATGTTTTCTAGGTGGATACTAGGCTGTTCTGGACCGTTGTTAAGATGCTGAGGGTGGTTGCTAGGTGGGTGCTAGATTGTTCTTGGTGGTTACTAGGGTTTTCCATTCTTAATAAAAATGTAACCCAAACTCACTCCATAGCTTGAGCGAGAAGTTGACATGTCGAGCTGCTACAACAACAGACTCACAATGTACAGGAAATCAAACTACTACTGGCTTACTTATAGACTCTGAACATAAAACCTCACCTTTAACTTAACATAATTGTAAAAGCGTGTGTCTGAATGGGGTTTGTTGTCTGACACACATTACAGAAGTTAAACAGTTCAGAACTCAAACACTGATTCACTGACTCAATATTTACTTTCTCCAGTCATCAGCAGCATAAGTGTGACAGCAACACCTCTAACACGCATATGCAGGCACAAACACACAAGTACGACGGTCAACCGGCCTCGATTGGCGAAGCGAAAAACAAGGTGACCCCAACAGCACCGGCACACACACTTACACACTGAAAATGTGCTCAAGTTTGGCTCATATGTGCACACACTCAGCAGATGTTGCATCGCAACGTTTGTGTACGCTAAAGGCTAGGATATGGAGAACGAACACAAACACACACAATTTAAGCGGTACTATTATCTGATTACATCGAGCACATTAGAGCGCTTTATTAAACGCTTCACTGATCTGAGATGGCTCTCGGCTGAAAGCAGATGTACTGCGGACCCTTAAATACAGTCTGGAAGACGCGCTGCATCGCTGCCTCCTATCTGCCAAAGATCCGCCTCGGCACGGACAGTCTAGAATCGAGTGGCTGAAAATCATTATGAGGCCTTCTGGTGATTTTATTCAACTTGCAGTTTACAGTTTAACACCAATAATAAATCTTTAACAGCTAAAGAAATGAAAAGTACACAAAATTCCCACAACAAGCTGTTTTACTCTACGCAACAGTGCACCCTCATGGTGGTGCCATGTTGAGGTCACATGCAAGCGGCAACCTTCCGGCCTCTCTCTTGAATCCAACACGGAAGTGATTTAAACTGCAATTCATCGACTGGCTGCTAGAGACTGGCTCCAAAAGGGAGTCAATCCCATAGACCCCCCCCATGTTAAAATGCCCAACTTTTCAGCAGAAAAATATGTTTATAGCCTGGTACAAAATGGTTTCAGCAACCAGGCACCTCAGCTTCACCCACGTCCTGCCTCTTTGCCCATTTTTGATTATCTGCGCATCACTGCCAAGATGGCGACGACCGGCTCCGCCCACTTTGGGCTTCAAAAATGCTCTTAATAAAACGGATAGTTCCGGACCTTGATTCTGATTGGTTAAGCCACATTCAAAGCTGCTGTAAATTACTCTACAAACATACACCTGTGTTGCTCGGCAACCACTTTGCTGCAATCACAACCGTTTCTGAGGAACTACATTGTTTGACGGAAGAATGATGTTTTTATTAATATCATTACATTTTATGTGCTTTGTTTTATTTTGTGAAATCTTGCTACGTATATGGAATAACCGTTTTATAAAAGCAATAACCCCCGTGAAGCCGTGGTTTACAGTGAATTTACACATCAATGTATGTATCGTCACGAGCCACAGGGTTTCATTTGGTTTGTTTGTGTATCTTTTTTTGACTCTCAAAGCCGTGATTCCCATTCACTTCCATTATATGACTGACAGACTGCAACGGTTTGAGTTAAAAATCTTTGTTTGCGTCTTCGTCTGAAGAAACAAAGTCACCTACATCTTGGATGCCCTGGGGGTAAGCAGATAAACATCAAATTTTCATTTTTGGGTGAACTATCCCTTTAAAGCTACAAAAGTCCTTCACTCAAGAGCGTTATAACACAGAGACAACAGCAGATCTCCACGACTTCCCTATAACACACACACAAGCCTGAATGAGATTTGAGAGTGAAGATTTTCAGAAAACAATGTCATCAAGGTCAGTCTGTTACAGCCTACAAAGACCACTGCGGACTACTCTTGTGGAGCTTTTCCACATCCGCTTTGACTGTATGGAAAGTGACTCACGCTGCCATCACTGCAGGGTTTGAGATCCTTCCAGAACGTCTTCAGCTGTCCGAGCTCCACTTTATTCAGAGGAATCGAGACCTCTCCGATGTAATTAGAACCAACATTTAGAATAGCAAGAATTACAGGAGAAATTAAATAATTTAATGAAAATTGGGTGAAAATGTGCGTAATACCATATTTTATATATAAAAAAATCCCATTATAATTATTGTCATATTAAATTAAAAAAATAATTAAAAATACTTATAAAATTATATATTTATTATAATTATTGTATTTAAATTTGAATAATTTTAATTGCGTGTGTTTTTCATGAAAATAATAGCACAATAAAAAATGTAACTCTGCTTAAAATCAGTCTTCATTTTCTTTATTCAAAATAAAATTTCATTTTTTTTTCTGTTGATTTTTGGGATAAAACGTGACCAGGTCATGTTTCGGTGAGATTCATCCCCACTACATCCTGAAACAATCTCATACACACACATACGCGGGTAAAGGCAGGTTTTTTCCATTAACTGGAGGGTTTCTGTAAAAGATGAGCCCCTATCAGCGCACACACACACACACACACACACACAAAGAAACACGTCACTAGAGCAAAGTGTGGCGAGAACTATCCAGCGCACGCGGGCGCAAAATCAACTTTTTGCTTCTATATTTCACAGCAAATCTGGAAGAACAATTCTGATTGGTTTCTTCAAATGTCCTTTTGATGAAAAAAAGATGCCATCAAGGTTTTTTTTTTTTTTTGTATGTGTGTAGTTTTTTTTCTTCCATCCGGATTCCATCCCAGAAGACCTGGAACGCTCTTTCAAAAAAAAAGTTTTCTTTTTCCGCCCTGGTGGTTAATGTTTTTTAATGATGTTTCGGTTGGATATACGACACGTCACTCACAGCACACAGACGACAAAGAATCCCGAGAAAAAGAGGGACTTCACTACTATTGTGCCAGCGATAAAGAGAAACCACAGAGAAAAAAAGCAAAAGAGACGAGGATGGAGTTAATTTGCTGTCTTTAAGTCTCCAGATGGCGTAAGGTTTCTATGTCTGCGGCTTTCAGCTGAACCAATCGGAGCTGTTTACTTATAAGATGAAAGAGAGGATAGATAGAGAGAGAGAGAAAGAGAAGGAAGGAACAAAGATACGGAAAATCAGGTCAATTGGGAAAGATGCAGAAAAAGGCTTGGATAGGTCAGGGATTTCGAGAAAAACAACTATAAATGGAAACTAAAACAACCGAGAGGTTGCTAATGGTAAGAGGGCGTCTCGTTTCCCCTCATGGCTTTAATTACTCGCACGGGGCGTCTGAGACCTGGAAAAATACAACTCCCAGAGTTCCTGCGACTCGATCCGTTTCAGCAGTGGCCAATTTAAAGGCTGCCAAATGAGCTCCCATGAGCCTTCGGGTCTAGACGCGAGATTGGTTCGATGAGACGAGGGACGGGGCCGAGCTGATGCATTCACACATCCAAAAGATGTCAGACCTCTCCAGCCTGAGGAACACAGGGGAATAGGGCTATAAAACCAAAACAGGAAGGAAACGGCATCCTGGTAATGTGTAGTTGCGGCGAGAACGCTCTCAGAGCATCTTTAAATGGCTTTGTTGGATTTAGCGACTATCCCAGAGTCCAGAACGGATGCTAATGCACAACAGAACCGTTGGCGTAATTAGCTATAAGCAGGCATTTGGACTACATGCTACCAGAGTAAATAAAGACGAAAGTGGAGAGAGAAGCTCAAAGGTTAAAGGTTACAAGAGTGGATGGCTAAAAGTACCCGTGTTGTGCCGTCTGGCAGCAAGTTAAGTCTTGTGCATAAGGACGGGGTTTCGGGTCAAAGGTCAAATGGATTATGCCGTCTCAGCCCATGTTTATGTTTTTGTTATTATACGTGTACCTGAGGTGCCCCCGATGTCCATGGCTTTGAGGTTGCGAGCTTTTATGATGTTAACAGTGATGGTGTTGGCAGTGGGGTTATAACACAGAGACAACAGCAGATCTCCACGACTTCCCTATAACACACACACAAGCCTGAATGAGATTTGAGAGTGAAGATTTTCAGAAAACAATGTCATCAAGGTCAGTCTGTTACAGCCTACAAAGACCACTGCGGACTACTCTTGTGGAGCTTTTCCACATCCGCTTTGACTGTATGGAAAGTGACTCACGCTGCCATCACTGCAGGGTTTGAGATCCTTCCAGAACGTCTTCAGCTGTCCGAGCTCCACTTTATTCAGAGGAATCGAGACCTCTCCGATCGGGTCGTTACGGCTGAACCGATCGTAATCCAGCACCTGGAGATACAGCGTTCGCTCCCGCACCTTCTCATACGGGAACCCTGAGGAGATGTGAGACGGGAGGATTGGATTCATCCGGAATAATGAAAGCAGGACATACTTCATCCCAACATTAAAAGAAAATGTTTTGCATAGTAAAAACAGAAACATTTTTGCATTGTGACTTTATTTTCTTGACAATTAGGCATATTTCCTCCTCAAATTCTCATTAGTGTCATGTAAAAAAACAACAAATAAAGCCCCTCTCATTCTTGTATTAAGTCTCGGTATTTTACTCCTACAGGCTTTTTTAAATGTATTATGGTCATACTGATTCTCATAACATTCTAATACAGTATTTTTCAGTATTACAGTGAATAATTTTTACAATTGTTATAATAATTTTTATTTCAACCAACAGAAATGAAAGGCAGCACTTTATTTATATAATATTTATGTACAATTGCATTTATGCATTTTATCCAAAGCGACTTGCATTGCATTCAAGGCACACAATTTCTTGTTGCAACTGCCTTGCTCTACTGTTTGAGCTATAGGAATGCAAATATTTTAAATAATAATAATAATAATAATAATAATAATAATAATAATTAATGTTTTTTAAGCAAGACATATTTTCTTTCTTTGTACTTTGGGATGAAAGATGACCTAAACATATTCTTGACAGGTTTTGTGAGATTGTTTTAAATATCTAAAATATACTATAATTTGTATTTTTATCAAGTGAGAGACTCGTTTGAAGAGAATTAATGAGAGAATTGTTTAAACTAGAAACTGATCCACAACTGACCTTCAAACAGGAAGGTTTCGTTCCAGTGAGGGTTGAGATTTTTCCTCTTGACTTTGGTCTCGAGTTTGTGCTTTCTGTCAGGCAGCAGGTAGATTTTGACGAAGGGGTCGGACGTCCCAGAGAAGTCTTTAGCGGGCAGGTCTTGACCTTTGAGTATCTTCACCGTCAGAGTCGTGTCTTGGAAGCCGTAGCCCAAGCTGAACTGAATCCTGCC